CAACCCAGCTCCTCCTCCCTCTCAGACAACTTTATCCACAAGCCTTACTAAAAGCTAGATTTTCCATAATTTAGTTATTTCATTCGCTGAAAGTCTAGGCGATAGACACACACATGGTTAGTCGAGTCAACGTTTTGCCCAACATCGCCCAGTTCCAGCATTTGAAGAGACGCGCAACTTGGTCGCTTTCGCCTGCCCGTTTCCAATCGATCTGCCACCTTATTGGTCTGGTGCCAGTCTGGGTGCACATTCACACACGTCTACCCACGCACGCCATGCCACGTTTACACGAGGGTGGAGTGTCTGTACGGCGCCTATCACATTCACCCCTCTCCTCCGCCGTTCCGTAAGCCCTTGCATAAAATTGGCTTTGTCTATCGCAGCCAAGTTTGGAAATTAACTGGGTCCCAGACCAATGTATATCAAGTTTGACATTGTGACAAGCTAATTAGACTCTATTAGACATCGTTACATTTGCTTGTAGTGCTAAAGGTTGGAGGTCTAAGACCTGTTCGAAAGGGCAGTGCGACCATCTCCTCTATGCGAAAACTAACCGCACTCCCAGTCCAGGTGAGGGCAAACTTTGACCACTTCTCACTTTTTTTCTCTACTGGTGGCACAGGAGCACAACCTCGTCTACTTCATTTTAAAATTGACTAAATCGCAGATCCTAAACCCTGACCTTAATCTGCCAGGCAAAAGGTCACAAGCACTGATAAGGTCAGGGAGGACTTGAAAACATTTCCTGTGATGCTGAGGGAAGGGAGAGAGTCCGAGAGAGAAAGCGAGCAAAACGCTTAGTCAAAGAGTTTAAATGCCAAAATCAGTTCAAGAAGGCGGCAAACAAAGAATCATATATAAGGATTTTGAAGGCAAAAATGTATTAACTCCAAGGGGAATCAAAAGTACAAAAGTTAAGCATAAATGCATACATTAGTTGACAAATGCCATTATTAGGGACGCCGATTGCATAAAGAGAGGTACAAAAAAATTGAAAGAAGATTGCAACTGACCTCGACTGGGCTTAGCTGTAGCGACATCACTGGGGGCACTGGGAGGACTCGGTCCTGCCTTATTGACAGCAATCACACGATACTCATAGTCACGACCAGCTGTCACTGAGCCATCGGTATATTCCGTGTCTGGAACAGGTTTGAGTGTAATCTTTGTCCACCTATTCGACTTGGGCTCTTTCCGCTCCACATGGTAGCCAATGATGGGAGCACCTCCATCTGAAGCCGGTGGTTCCCAACGAAGATCAATGCGGTCCTTGTCATGGTCCACAATTTCCGGTTTGCCTGGAGCTTCGGGTTCATCGTAGGGG